GAGAGATGAGAGAGTGTTTATAATGCAGAATGTGGGTGGTATTTGTATACAGTGTATATTCTTTAAAAACATGAATGTATGCAAAAAAGACGTCAATTTGACGAAGTTGCAAACAGCTCAACTCTATGACAGATGTAACCTTCCAGGTATACAGTTGCAAGAAAAAGTATGTGAACCCCTTGGGATTACGTGGAGTTTTGCATGAATTGGGCATAAAATGTGCTCTGAATGTCATCTAAGTCACAACAATAGAAGAACACAGTCTGCTGAACATAATACTACACAAACATTAGATGTTGCCATGGTTTAATTGCACATAACATGTAAACATGCACAGTGCAGGGAGGAAAAAGTATGTGAGGCCCTAGCTTAATGACTTCTCCCAGAGCTAATTGGAGCCAGGAGTGAGCCAACCTTGACTCCAATCAGTGTGATGATATTGGATGTGTTGCTGACAGCTGTCCTGCCCTTAAAAAACACACACCTGTTTTGGGTTTACTGGTTTCAAGAAGCACTGTCTGATGTGAACCATGCCTCGCAGAAAAGAGCTCTCAGAAGACCTACGATCAAGAATTGTTGACTTGCATGAAGCTGGAAAGGGTTACAAAAGTATCTCCAAAAACCTTGATGTTCATGTGTCCATGGTAAGACAGACTGTCTACAAATGGAGAAAGTTTAGCACTGTTGCTACTCTCCCTAGGCGTGTGTCGTCCTGTAAAAATGACTGCAAGAGCACAGCGCAGAATGCTGCATGAGGTAAAGAAAAATCCCAGAGTGTCAGCTAAAGACCTACAGAAATCTTTGGCACATGCTAACATTTTTGTTGACACATCTACAATAAGGAAAACATTAAACAAGAATGGAGTACAAGGGAGGACACCACGGAGGAAGCCATTGCTGTCCAAAAAGAATATTGCAGCACGTTTGAAGTTTGCCAAAGAGCACCTGGATGTTCCACAGCACTACTGGCAAAATATACTGTGGACAGATGAAACCAAGATGGAGTTGTTTGGGAAGAACACACAACACTATGTGTGGAGAAAAAAGGCACAGCACACCAACATCAAAACCTCATCCCCACTGTAAAACATGGCGGAGGGAGCATCATGGTTTGGGGCTGCTTTGCTGCCTCAGGGCCTGGACGGATTGTTGTCATTGATGGGAAAATGAATTCCAGAGTTTATCAAGACATTTTGCAGGAAAACGTACGACCATCTGTCTGCCAACTGAAGCTCCACAGAGGATGGGTGATGCAACAGGACAATGACCCAAAGCATACAAGTAATTCAACAAAACAATGGCTGCAACAGCACAGAATACGCCTTCTGGAGTGGCCCAGTCAGAGTCCTGACCTCAACCCGATTGAAATGCTGTGGCATGACCTTAAGAGATCGATTCACACCAGACATCCCAAGAATATTGCTACACTGAAACAGTTTTGTGAAGATGAGTGGTCCAAAATTACTCCAGATTGTTGTGCAGGTCTGATCTGCAACTACAGGAAACGTTTGGTTGAGATTATTGCTGTCAACGGAGGGTCAACCAGTTAATAAGTCCAAAGGTTCATATACTTTTTCCTCCCTGCACTGTGAATGTTTACATGTTATGTGCAATTAAACCATGGCAACATCTAATGTTTGTGTAGTATTATGTTCAGCAGACTGTGTTCTTCTATTGTTGTGACTTAGATGACGTTCAGAGCACATTTTATGCCCAATTCATGCAAAACTCCACGTAATTCCACGGGGTTCACATACTTTTTCTTGCAACTGTATGTGGAGAATACCTCTGTCTTCATGCAGGAAGAAGGTAGGTCATTGTCGATGCTTCAGAAAATGCTTCTTATCAAATTCCTTGGGCTGTCTACTTTCCAAAAAGGGGTCATTTGGGGGGTTAGGTGCTATCCTGGCATTTCAGGGCCTCCGAAACTGTGATAAGTAGTCAGGAAGTGTAATGAAGAAATAAAGCCCTTTAAAAGACTGAAGGTGCTTATTGGATTTTGTGGTCCTGTACTTGGCTAGACTGCCAAAAAGTCTCTCGGATGTGGTACCCCCATACTCGGGAGAAGTAGCAGAATGTATTTTGGGGAGTAATTCCACATATAACCATGGCATGTAGGAATAATATATAATTTAAGTGACAATTTTGTCATTTTTTTGTCATTTTCCAAAAAACTTGTAGAAAAATAAATTCTTCTATTGATTCAACATGCCTCTCAGCAAATAGTTTGGGCTGTCTACTTTTCAAAAAGGGGTCGTTTTGGGGGGTGGGGGGGCATTTTATGCCCAGCATTAGAAGTTTATGCCACACATCATTCACTCTTCTAACCACCTGAAGACCAAGCCTTTTCTGACACTTTTTGTTCACATGAAAAAAATCTGTATTTTTTGTTAGGAAATTACTTTGAACCCCCAAACATTATATTTTTTTTTAAAGCAGACACCCTAGTGAATAAAATGGTAGGTGCTGCAATTTTGTATGTCACATAGTACTCGTGCAGCGATTTTTCAAACGCAATTTAAAAAAAAAATACACTTTTTTTTACTTTTATTGCACAAAAACACAAAATATTGGCCAATTATTTGGTAAGATATAAAAGATGATGGCATGCCGAGTAAATAGATATCAAACATGACATGCTTTAAAACTGTGCATGCCCCGTGCAATGGCAATAAACTGCATACATTTTTAATATCCATAGGCAACTCTTTAAAAGCCTTTACAAGCTACCATTTTAGATTTACAGAGGTCTAGTGTTAGAATTATTGCCCTTGATCTGACGCTCGCGGCGATACCTCACATGCATGGTGCAACCGCTGTTTATATACCAGCATAAGCTCAATGCTTGCGCATGCAGGTGCACGTGGGGGGGGGGGGGGAGGGGCGAGGGTGATTCTTTTTTTTTTTAAGTTATTTTGATTTTTTAAAATTAATTTTACATTGTCCCTTTCATTTTTTTTTATCACTTTTAATGCTATCAAAGGGAATGCAAATATCCCCTATAACTTCAATGGGCATTGTCATATATTCTTTTTTGAGAAATCTGAGGTCTATCAGACTCTGGATATCTCCTTTGCCCTTACATTATCTAATCGAACCAAATTCGGTGTGATCAGATGCTTTCCCAATTTACAAATGGCGCTGTTTATATCATGCGAAACTGAAGTGATGAAAATAAAAATCTCTGCCAGAAAAAGTGTTTGGTATGCCCACCATTAGAATATACCACCCTGCATACACCCATTTCTAATGTGTGGGCACACATTACGTCGCACGGTGTCACACGCGCCAATTCCAAGATTGTACAAATGTCTAAATAGGGGCACGCTTAAAGAGCTCTGATGAAGGGAGTTTGTCTCCCGAAACGCGTTGGCCTACCTCACTAAGGGTCTACCGTCACTTTGGACTGTCATTATGGACACTTCTTGTCTGGTTTTTATCCCCTTTGGTTTGTGAGTATGCATTTTTATGCTTCATAATAAATTCTTGGTTTACTACGTTAATGCACGAAGAGAGTGCTTTTGACATCCATGCCTGTTCTGATTTTTCCTCCATCTTGTGATGGAAAAATAGACCCATGCAATCCCATGCAGATGTGTTCATTCAATTTGGCCCATTGAAAATAGGCTGCCATGCACCTCGACAGACCTGCAACTTTTTCGACCCATGTTGCACTGCAATGCACTTTAGTGTGTCGCCGTGCCTTGCGCTGCAAGGTGCGCTGGGGTGCCATTCAGAATGAATAGTATAGCATTGCACCATTGCAATTAGTGCCTCACATTGCCGTAATGTACACAGGAACATGAGTGTTCCCACAACCTGAAAATGTGAACGAGGTTTAAAGTGATTGTAAAAGTTGAAGGTTTTTTACCTTTGTGTATTCTATGCATTATGGTAAAAAACATGCAGCAGTGCCACCAGCCCCGTCAATACTTACCTGAGCTCCATCGATATCCAACGATGTGCACAACAGCCTTGGCTGTCCCGGGTCTTTGCCTTCTTATTGGCTGAGACAGCTAGTATGAGCCATTGGCTACTGCTGCTGTCAATCACAGCCAGTCAGTCAATGAGGAGGGGGGGGGTCAAGCTGCAGCCCTATGTGTGGATGGACACACAGAGCAGCGGGTGCCCCCATAGCAAGCTGTTTGCTCTGGGGGCACCCAACAGGAAGGAGAAGCCAGGAGAGCCTGTGGGGGGACCCGAGAAGAGGAGGATCCGGGCTGCTCTGTGCAAAACCACTGCACACAGGTAAGTATAGACACGTTTGTTATTCCCCCCCCCCCCCCCAAAAAAAAAAATGAAACTCTATAATCGCTTTAAAGTGTTACTAAACCCACAACCGTACAATCAGTCTGTATATGCAGTAAAGCATGCTTGTTATACTCGCTGTGGAACCTAAAGGGTTAATCCTCTGCATTGTGTTAAAAGGCCAATTGATCCTGTGTTCTCTGCCCCTCCTCTTGTCGAAATGTCCACGTCCTATCTTCTGATAAGACAGACTGAACCCATAGCCATTCTGCACATGCTCAGTTTGGTGTGTATTGCTAGATAGTTTTTTTTTCTCTCAGGAGAGTGATCAGCATAGGGTCAATCAGCACTGTCCAGAGAGAGGTCAGGGGCTCTGCATCCTTCTAGAGCAAAAAGAAACCTCCTCCTACAAGCTTTAACCAGTGCTCTGCTGGACACTGATAGAAGTCACAAGACTTACATACTGCTGATGAGAAAAGGTATTTAGCAGTTTATATTTACTGAAATAATTGCATTTCCATGTTCTGTGTACTGTGAGAGACCAGATATAGTGAATGCAGGGTCCAGGGAGACTGGATATAGTGAATGCAGGGTCCTGGGAGACCAGATATAGTGAATGCAGGGTCCTGCGAGACCAGATATAGTGAATGCAGCTTCCGGGGAGACCAGATATAATGAATGCAGGATCCTGAGAGACCGGATATAGTGAATGTAGGGTCCGGGGAAAGCAGATATAGCGAATGCAGGGTCCGGGGAGAGCGGATATAGCGAATGCAGGGTCCGGGGAGACCAGGTATAGCGAATGCAGGGTCCGGGGAGACCAGATATAGTGAATGCATGGTCCGGGGAGACCAGATATAGCGAATGCGGGGTCCGGGGAGACCAGATATAGTGAATGCAGGGTCCGGGGAGACAGGATATAGTGAATGCAGGGTCCGGGGAGACCAGATATAGTGAATGCAGGGTCCGGGGAGACCAGATATAGCGAATGCAGGGTCCGGGGAGCGCGGATATAGCGAATGCAGGGTCCGGGGAGCGCGGATATAGCAAATGCAGGGTCCGGGGAGAGCGGATATAGCGAATGCAGGGTCCGGGGAGACCAGGTATAGTGAATGCAGGGTCCGGGGAGACCGGATATAGTGAATGCAGGGTCCGGGGAGAGCAGATATAGTGAATGCAGGGTCCAGGAAGAGCAGATATAGTGAATGCAGGGTTCAGGGAGAGCAGATATAGTGAATGCAGGGTTCGGGGAGAGCAGATATAGTGAATGCAGGGTCCTGAGAGACCGGGGTACAGTGAATGCAGGGTCCGGGGAGACCAGATATAGTGAATGCAGGGTCCGGGGAGAGAGATATAGGGGATGCAGGGTCCGGGGAGACCAGATATAGTGAATGCAGGGTCCTGGGAGACCAGATATAGTGAATGCAGGATCCTGAGAGACCAGATATAGTGAATGCAGGGTCCGGGGAGACCGGATATAGTGAATGCGGGGTCCGGGGAGAGCGGATATAGTGAATGCAGGGTCCGGGGAGACCGGATATAGTGAATGCAGGGTCCGGGGAGAGCGGATATAGGGAATGCAGGGTCCTGGGAGACCGGATATAGTGAATGCAGGGTCCTGGGAGACCAGATATAGTGAATGCAGGGTCCGGGGAGACCAGATATAGTGAATGCAGGGTCCGGGGAGACCAGATATAGTGAATGCAGGGTCCGGGGAGACCAGATATAGTGAATGCAGGGTCCGGAGAGACCAGATATAGTGAATGCAGGGTCCGGGGAGAGCAGATATAGTGAATGCAGGGTCCTGGGAGACCAGATATAGTGAATGCAGGGTCCGGGGAGAGCAGATATAGCGAATGCAGGGTCCGGGGAGACCAGATATAGTGAATGCAGGGTCCGGAGAGACCAGATATAGTGAATGCAGGGTCCGGGGAGAGCAGATATAGCGAATGCAGGGTCCGGGGAGAGCAGATATAGTGAATGCAGGGTCCGGGGAGAGCAGATATAGTGAATGCAGAGTCCGGGGAGACCAGATATAGTGAATGCAGGGTCCGGGGAGAGCAGATATAGTGAATGCAGGGTCCGGGGAGAGCAGATATAGTGAATGCAGGGTCCTGGGAGACCAGATATAGTGCATGCAGGGTCCGGGGAGACCGGATATAGTGAATGCAGGGTCCGGAGAGACCAGATATAGTGAATGCAGGGTCCGGGGAGACCAGATATAGTGAATGCAGGGTCCTGGGTTCAGTAACACTTTAAGTTAGAAGTTTGCTACATTGTCATGTTAAATGTTATGGTTACATGCTTTAATGTTTGCAAACATTTCAGAGCATTAGTAGTTCATAGGAATTGGCTTTGTGGATGCTGCCATCTAGTAGACAGAGTAAGAAAATCAAAAAGACACCATTTGATGCCATAATAATTAATACAACACTGTCATCTTGTGGACAAAATACGAAATGCAGAAAGACATATTTGTTATCATAATAATTGAGACAATGATGCCATCTAGTGGTCAAAGAATGAATTGTATCCAAACCACCTTTAAACCAAAGGTATGAAATATATTTTGAGCAGTATATAACTTATTTTTATGTTTGCTGAATATAAGAAATTTTGAGTGATGTCAGAGCAGCAGGCTCCACTATACAGAATATAAGAACTCAAGAGAAATATGCAATTTATCATGAAATGATTATCATGATATGAGGATGTCAGTCTCAGGCATTTTTATGCTGATCCCCTGTATTTCAGTATTTTAATTTACTAATCTGAACTCCTGCTGTGCATACATGTTCTGAGTAATGAATGAGAAATGATTAAACCCGTACTGATATAAACATGAAGGCGGCCATTACTGACTTCTCATTCTATAAATGCTGGTTTCCTAGCTATTATGATCATCAACTCCCTCCTCACTGGCCTGCCTCGCCGCTGACTTTCCCCGCTTCAGTCGATCCTGAATACGGCAGCCAGACTTATTCACCTTTCCAACCGCTCCGTTTCCGCCACCCCCCTCTGCCAATCCCTCCACTGGCTTCCGATTGCACAACAGATCAAATTCAAAATCCTAACACTGACATACAAAGCTGTCCACCATACTGCCCCGAACTACATCACTGACCTAATATCCAAGTACCACCCAACACGCACACTCCGCTCCTCACAAGACCTCCTTCTCTCTAGTTCCCTGGTCTCCTCCTCCCATGCCCGCCTCCAGGATTTCTCCAGGACATCACCTATCCTCTGGAACTCCCTACCCCTATCCATCAGACTATCACCTACTCTCCTCTCATTTAGGCGCACCCTGAAAACCCACCTCTTCAGGGAAGCCTACCCCACCCCCTGCTAGTTGCCGACCTCCTCCACTCTTCCTACCACTCCATCCCCCACAGCTATCTCCTCCTGTGCCACCATCCCCTCCCTCCTAGATTGTGAGCTCGAAAGAGCAGGGCCCTCGAACCCCTCATGTATCACATTGTATTGTTTTCGTACTGTCACATGTTCTGTCTCCCATTGTAATGTACAGCGCTGAGTGAACTGCTGGTGCTTTATAAATACTGTATAATAATAATAATCTAGTGGCTTAAATTTGTTGTTAATCTGTTTGCTGATCTAAACAAGTACCCAGATCAGGAGTTCAGTGGATTTTTGATGGGGGTTATCATTCAGATGCCGCTGTCACATTGATCTAAACATTGTGCACCTCTAAGTAGGGGAGAAATGGGTTTGTCATTCTCCATGGTGCTTTAACCATGGTCCTGGTTTGAAATATTTAAAGCAGTATGAGGCACCTCCTTTACTTTCTACCTGACTTGGACTAAGAAACAGAGCGGTATCAGGCACCTCTTTCACTTCTTACCTGACCTGGCATTAAAGGCTTGTTCACGCCATAGTTACATAGTTAGTCTGGCTGAAAAAAGACAAAAGTCCATCCAGTTCAACCATTAAGAAAAAACAAACAAAAGAAAGAAGTTATAATCCTACACCCACAGTTGATCCAGAGGCAAAAAAATACCCAGATATGCAATACATCACCACGATGGCCAAAATTAGCATTTTTGATCCATGCCAAATTGGAAGCAACCATCCTAGATTCAGTCCTCAAATTTCTGTCGATATGGATCCCATGGGTGGACCAGTTCCTTCCGCTGAACTTTGATGATACGCTGCTTCTCCCTTAGCACTATCTAGTCCCTCCTTGTGAAGATGCTACCATTTCTAAATGATACTAAATAACAAAAGGATTAAATCCACAAATAACTGAATAAATGAATAAACATCCCACAATTGTCTAAAACAGTGATCATGATGAATCCCACCTCTCCCATAGGAAATACCTTTATAGCGATAATGCATATGATAATACACAAAAAAGAAACACAAAAAGTGATAAATAATCCAATATACAGTCTCTCTTTAAATTAGTTCAGTCCTTGATTTGTAGTGAAATATTCCTTTCGTGATAATGAACGTCAACACCTTCTAATGTAGAAGAACAAAATCCCAACAAGCCTTCACCCGCTACAAATCTGCCTTCCACACCTACACCTCCTCCCTCCACGCTGCCAAACAAGCCTACTTCCTGACCCTCATCAAGGCCCTCTCCTCCAATCCTCGCCGACTCTTCTCCACCTTCAACTCTCTACTCTCTCCACCCCCACCTCCACCCAGCACCTCACTCACTGCCCTTGAGATTGCCAATCACTTCAAAAACAAGATTGACACAGTTCGCAAGGAAATCGCCGCAACTCAAACGCCCTCTCAACCCGTCCCCTCTCACACAGCTACCCCCTCATCCCCCCCTCCCCCTCGACATAACCCGCAGGGACTTCGTCGCTGCTCAAACTCACTCCAACCCCCTTCCCCCTCACTCAGCTACCCCCTCATCACCCCTCTCCCACGGCCCCACCACTGCTCTGACCTCCTCTTCCACCCCACCCTACATTCCTCATACTGAAGCTCCCCCAACATTCCGCACCTTTGACCTTACTACCATCGAGGAAGTCTCCAAGATCTTCTCTGATGCCCCGCCTCACCACCTGCCCCCTCGACCCTATCCCCTCACAACTCCTACGACCTCCCTCCCCCTCCATCTATGCTCCCTCACCCACATCTTCAATCTCTCCCTCTCCTCTGGCACTTTCCCCTCCCCTCTAAAACATGCACACATCACCCCCATACTTAAAAAGCCCTCCCTGGACCCCAATGACCCGAACAACCTCAGACCCATCTCCCTGCTCCCATTTACATCTAAACTCCTCGAGCGCCTAGTCTACGCCCGCCTATGCTCTCACCTCAACGACAACAACCTCCTCGATCCCCTACAGTCCGGCTTCCGTCCCCTACACTCCACCGAAACTGCCTTACTCAAACTCTCCAACGACCTGCTAACCGCCAAAGCTAATGGACACTATTCAGTGCTCCTACTCCTTGACCTCTCTGCGGCCTTCGACACAGTTGACCACCCCCTCCTCCTCAAAAAACTAACACTCCCTCGGCCTCAAGAGATTCTGCTCTCTCCTGGCTCTCATCCTACCTGTCACAATAACGCTCTTTCAGCGTTACCTATAATGCTATGCTACCACCTCCCCCTCACTCCCCCTCTCTCTGTTGGGGTCCCTCAAGGCTCTGTCCTCGGGCCCCTTCTCTTCTCCATCTACACCTCCTCCCTTGGCCAACTCATACACTCTCACGGCTCCAACTACCACCTCTATGCCGACGACACACACAAATCTATCTCTCAACCCCCCACCTCACACCCCCTCGGTCTCCGCCCGAATCACACACCTACTGAGCGACATATCAGACTGGATGTCGCTACACTTCCTTAAACTGAACATCTCCAAAACCGAGTTTCTTGTCTTCCCCCCAGCCCGGACACCACCCCCCATTGACTTCTCTATCACATCGAACAATGCTACCATCAAACCCGCCCTGCAGGCCAGAGTACTTGGTGTCGTTCTGGACTCCAACCTATCCTTCCAGCCCCAAGTCCAATCTTTAACAAACTCGTGCAGACTCCACCTCCGCAACATCACCAAAATCCGCACGTTCCTAACCCCAGAAACCACTCAACGGCTCATCCACTCCCACATCATATCACGACTCGACTACTGCAACTCCCTCCTCACTGGCCTGCCTCGCCGCTGGCTATCCCCGCTTCAGTCGATCCTGAATACGGCTTCCAGACTCATTCACCTTCCAACCGCTCCGTCTCCGCCACCCCCCCCCTGTGCCAATCCCTCCACTGGCTTCCGATTGCGCAACGGATCAAATTCAAAATCCTAACGCTGACGTACAAAGCCGTCCACCATACTGCCCCGAACTACATCACTGACCTAATATCCAAGTACCGCCCCCAGCACGCACACTCCGCTCCTCACAAGACCTCCTTCTCTCTAGTTCCCTGGTCTCCTCCTCCCATCCCCACCTCCAGGACTTCTCCATGGTGTCACCCATCCTCTGAACTCCCTGCCCCAACCCATCAGATTATCACCTACTCTCCTCTCCTTTAGGCGCACCCCTGAAAACCCATCTCTTCAGGGAAGCCTACCCCACCCC